TACCCTTGATAGAAAAATAAAATAAGCTTCCAGACCTTCTCTTCTCAACTCCAACCACCACGGCCTTCTCCTTTCCTTTCCTTTTCTATCCTTCCTCCTTCCACTCACGCCAGCCACACCCAAAGCCAACTGCAGCTGTCCCAATCTTTTCCTTCCCAGTCAAGCTCCTGCAAGCACTCTCAGGCAGTCCCCGCTACACTTGCTTGCCATCTTCTCTCTTTAGTGGACTAACAATTTCCTTGACTTTTTTCTTGTTATTAATATGTTAAAAGAAACTTTTTTTTATTATCTTTGATTTTTGTTGCAAGTCTTTGTTCATTCTGAGCCTTTGCTTTCCTGACTTCATCTTTGCAGGTTCTAGCTATCTGGGGATACTCCGTCTTAGTTATGTGTCTCTCTTTCCATTTTTTGTACTTTCCTTTTTGTCTTTTGGTTTATCAGAGAGATCTTTGTGTAACCATGTTGGTTTCTTCTTAAATTTCTTGTTTTTCTTTTTCAGTGGTATTGTGCTGGACTGGGCTTTTATGATCTCATTTTTCAGAGTTTCCCACATTTCTTGAGTTATTTTCCCCTTTAGGATTTTCATCCATGAAATCTTTCCTAGGTTGTCTCTGAGTTTGTTAAAATCAGTTCTTTTAAAATTTAAGACACTGGTTGGATTATTTTCTATTGCTTGTGTTTGCATTATATTGAATTCCAGTATGATGTGGTCACTTTCCCCCAAGGTTCCGGCAACTTCAACTCTATCACTTCTTCTCTATTAGTAAGAATTAGGTCGAGTATAGCTTTACTTCTAGTTTCCTCCTCTACCTTTAGGATAACAAAGTTGTCGGCTAGGTTGGTTAGAAATCTGTTTGATCTCCTGCTCGCTGCAGAGTTTGTCTTCCAGTTGATATCAGGGTAGTTAAAGTTTCCCAATACTATTGTGGTATGCTTCCTACCAGTGCTTTTTTTCTAAAAAAAAAAAAAAAAAAAAGGTGCCGGAACTCACACATGTCATACAACCCGCCTTGCCTACCCTACAAGGTTCCATCCAAAAAAGGTGCCGGAACTCCGTTCTGGGCGTTCTATGAGAAAAAAAGCCCTGCTTCCTACATACATATGTTAATTGATTAGCAAAGATTTCATCTATTTCTTCTGCTTGATTGGGTAGCGTGTAATATACATATATGGCAATGTCACTCTTTTTTCCTTTTACAGTATATTGACCTATATACATTCTAGAGGGATTTTATCTTGGATCATGTGCAGTTCTGAAGATATGTACTGATCTCTTACATATAATGCAACTCCACCTCCTCTTTTTGTAGATCTTTTTCTTTTGAACAATTTGTATCCATCCATCAGTCCATTTCATTCATGGGTTTCGTCTCACAAGGTTTCTGTAATACCAACTATGTCATACCCTCCCTATTGCTTCTAATTTGCCATGTTTGTTCCCCAAGCTTTGAGCATTTGTATATAAGCATTTAAGACTTTTATACCTATCTGTGGGTATGTTTCCTGCATCTCCTGAATGTTGTTTGAGTTTTTCTTTTTTCTCATCTCTGCCCACCTTATTGTTTGATTTGTTTTCTTGGGATTTATGATTGTTTTGGGTTCTAGAGATTCTGAAGATTGGTCACCCTCCCCCCTCAATTTTAGTTTAAAGCCCTCCTGATGAGTTGGACCAGTCTTTTTCCAAGTACATTTTTCCCTGTTTTCGTGAGGTGCAGCCCATCCCTTGCCAAGAGTCCTTTGGATAGGAAATGTAGTTCATGGTCCAGGAAACTAAAGTTCTCTTGGTGACACCAACCCTTTAGCTGGTGGTTTATTTCTAGAATTCTTTTTTCCCTCAATGGGTGTTGACATTTTGTTACAAGTACTGATGAGAACACTATTTGTGCTCCTAGCTCCTTAACTTTATTGCCTAGTTGCTCATAATCTCTCAATATTGTACTCAGGTTCTTTGTTGTGTCATTCGTCCCAATGTGAAGGAGGAGGAAAGAGTAGTAATCTGTGGAGCTAATTATTTTGGTTAGGTTGTCAGCCACATCTTTGATTTTTGCTCCAGGGAGACAACACACCTTCCTGGATTGTATGTCTGGTCTGCAGATGGATGATTCTGTTCCTTTGAGGATAGAATCTCCTATCACCAACACTTGCCTTCCTTTGGGGGGGGTGCAGTCTGGGGGCTTTTCTGTTTATCACAGATGTATTTAATGGTGTTACTTTTTTAGGGAGATTTGATGATGTCTCTTTTCTAGGTGTCTGCATGTTTTCTTTGAGGGAGAGGTTGTGGGTCTACATATTTTCATCCAGGGGGAGAAATAAATTGTTCAGTTTTAATGGGGCTGTTTCTGGATGGGTTAGATTGGGCAGTAGGGGTTTGATAGATGTATGCTGCTTTTTTCTTTGATTATTGTGTTTCCTTCTATGTGTGACATACCTCCATTTGTCTTCCTCTAAGGGTTTATCTGCAGGGTCCTTATTTGGTTTGATTTGGGTAAAGCTTTCTTGTATAGGTTGGAGTTTGGCTAGAGTTGCCTCTAGATCCTTTACTTTTTCTTCTAGTAGTTCGTATAGTTTACATTTAATACATGTATAATTTGGGTGTTCTTTGGGCATAAGCACATACATGGAACATATACTGCATACCACAATAGTATCAGTCACCTGTTCCATGAGTTTGTTTCTTTTAAAGATTAAAAAAAATGTAAAAGTGGGAGATTTTATCTCAGTATATATTAAGATAAAACTAACTAACCTAATATGTTCAAATGAGGAACAGAGGCAAGACTAGATCTGGGAGAAAAACTAGTATTTCATTTAGGATGGTAAAAATTGTTGATGGTCTGGCTGGATTCATTGTCTTTGAGATATAAGGAGAACAAGAGAAGTCAAATCTTATTCCTATCTTCAAAAAAAAAAACAACAACAACAGGATCTGGATGACCAGAGACCAGTAACTCTGCCATTGATAACTGAGAAGCTTATAACGTTTTAATTGACTATTTGTGGTGTATCACTCAACAGCTCACAGACAATATATGCCTATGTTCTCCTACAATAAAAAGTACTACAGACCAATTATTGATTTTAAAGGATATGACTGATGGGGGAGAGGATATTCATGGATGAGTTTACAAAGAACCTAGCAACAATTTTCTTTTTAATAATGGAGGCTAATTATGTTTAGTGCTTCCTGCCGAGAATGTGTTTTCTCTGTTGCTTAGTACACCATACACTTGTGGAATTCCACTTGCAGCAGAGGAGAGCTTCAGATACCAATATTGAGATAACCCTTCTCACGAGCAACTCCTCAGCTAGCACCAGCTTCATCATGTGAGTAATAATGGACAGTTCCAATGTCCTTTTTTGTTCCTTTCAATTTGCACAATTTTCCTAATCCTAACTAGCCAAAATGAGCTGTCAGACTTGCTGAATCTGTTCTGTGTCAAATCTAACTACTGTACCTCCTGACTCCAAATATGTGGTGCATGTTTGCTTGTTTTAAGCTTTTCTTGGATTCAGTGTGCTGCAAGATAATAGAAAACTACCCCAGCTGGCTTCACTTTGCACTAGCATTGTGAATATCTACCCAGACTGACTAAAATTTGGACGTGGTATAACATGTTTTTTCTCTTAGTCCACTCTCATCGCATATTTTATTTTTCACAGCATATATTGGCAGATCTTTTTTTCAGAAAAAAATAATCTTAGTTGGTAGAAATGATTTCTGGAACACACCCTAACAAAGAGGTCCCCAACCTTTTGGGCGCCAGGAACCGGTTCAGTGGAGAGAGTTTTTCCGTGGACTGGAGGGTGTGTGATTTTGTGTGCTGCCTGCATCTCGCAGATGGGGCTTTGCTTGTTTGGGCAGCCCTGTTGCTAGCATGCTGCAGCCTGGTACTGATCCATGGACTGGGGGTTGAGGACCCCTGCCCTAACATCACCCACTAACACTTATTTAATTAGGATTGTGCCTTGGATGTTTCCACATGTTATAATAACAATAAAACCAGATACATTTGTATTTAAAGCATATAGATTTGCGGTGCTAGTCTATGAAAATGTGAGCAATTGTGCAATTGCAGAATTTTCTGTAGTGTCTAACTAAGTGTTCAAAATCAGGGTTTACTGAAATCTCAGAAAATCATGACTTTGATTGTTTGTGTACGTAGTGGAGCCACATCAACTTTCTTTACTATCAGCTTCTTAATTGTGCAGCTAAATGAATAACCAAGAAAATGCTAAGTGCAATCTTATATATGCATTATGTGCACACAGACAATGTTGAATGTACAGCCCAGAGAGAGTTGGCCAGATGCTGCCAGATGTTGAAGCAAAGCTGAGCAAACAATTGTAGTTATTTGGGAATGCTGATTTTGCTTTTCCTTCAGTGCTTGATTCTTCCCAATGTGATTTTCTCTCCTCTTGCACGTCAGCTAATACTGTATGTACAAAATAAAGGTGTTGCAGAGAGCATAGAATTTCCTTTGGATCTTCATGGAAAATGGCCTGGCTTGCATTAAGAGTGATTTGGAGCTCATTCTGCAGCTTAACTACAATGCATTTATGGTTCCTCTTCTCACACTTTATATTCTATTGGGCTTCACAGACCCAAGCAGCAAATGCTGGGCAAAGGCTTGCTGATTCATTCTGCTCCACTATGCCAGATAGAAAGTGTGATGTTGCAGCACCATCACAAGTTCTGGAAAAGGAAGAAAGATGAGCCACCTATTGTTGGGCACTTTTGTACTGCACCTCTACCTGTGGATAAAAAGTAAGCAAGAAATACTGTTTTTCCCTTAGCAAAAAAAGTATTGAAAGATTCTTTGTCTGAATTTAAATTTATTTGGGGATACTGCACAAAGTTAATTAAGATGCATTTGAGGCACTTAGTCTATATGGTATATTTATTTTAAAATATATGAGTTTGGAATTCTTTGTTTGCTTTTAGCTTAAACAGACTCAGAGGCAGCCTCAAGAAGCACCATTTCCATTCCTTAATCCCTCTTTTTTGAAAGCAATGGTAAAATTATTTTGCTTGTAAACTGGCATATTTGCTTGATATGACCTCAATCTTGTCCCATCACCGTAACTATTGCCAAGTGGTAGCTTTCGTATTTGTGACATGCAGGGGAAGTTAAGAAAAGGGATTAGGAATTTCCTTGCTTTCCTTTCCACCCATGAAACGTCACCAGCCAGCATTACAATATCTACCACTTGCTCTCCTTAACACAGTGGTTCTCAACCTGTGGGTCGGGACCCCATTTGGGGTCGATCGACCATTTCACGGGGGTCACCAAGCAAGGCTGTCCGCCATTTTTTTTGTCCGCCATTTTTTTGTCCGCCATTTTTTTCCCCTTTTCCGGCAGGTGCCTTACCTCCCTTGGGCTGGGCCAGCTGGTGGTCGGCCTGCTCCGTCTCTGCCGCTTGCCAGCTACACCTCGGCCGGCGCAGGGGGCGGAACCACGCATGCGCGGCGCTCCCGGGCAGGGAACGTCCTCGACTTACGACCAGTTGGGTAGTCCTCGACTTACGACCGGTTTAGTCCTGACTTACGACCAGTTGGGGTCGCGGCATTAAAAAGGTTGAGAACCACTGCCTTAACATGAGTTGGTGGTGGGGCTGGGGGAAAAGGCAAGTTTTGACAGTTGACAAAGGTTGCTAAAACAAACTAGAACAGGCAAAACTGCCATAATTTAAGGTTTTTCAAGTATGAATAGTGAATGAGATGAAATCAGTTTCAATACAACAGGAACCAAACTTAAGATTAAGGACTAACACAAATTGACCCATCTCCATTTCTTCACATTACCACTGGTGATGTTGGTTGCAACTGTCATCCTTTCTTTGAGTAATTGCAAAAGCTGTTTAGAAAATGAAAATTGATCAAGCCATTAAGGAGCTAATACATTTCAGGAGCCATTGGTTGTTTCTTTTTCCCAGTGTAGCCTTATCTCCATACCTTTTACTTTCTTGATGTGCCTTTTCCATTGCCAGCTGAAATTCTGAGAAGTAGCTGTTTAAAGAGACAATACAGCCTAACATGTCATGTTAGATCAACATGTCCTTTTACAAGAGAAAAATAAAGAGTGGCATTTGGGAGAGAAATAGATTGGAAGATCTAAGTACATAAGAACTTAGCCCAGGTGCTTAATGCATCTATTTTGCATATTGCCAAAAACTCCAAACTTATCCTAATCATATGCCCCTGAGGCGCTTTGGTGGCCAAGCGCTGTTGCTTGAAAGCAGAAGGTTGCTGACCTCTGTTGTAGAAGATAACACATCTTAGCAAAGATAACCCAGGACTGAAAGCCTACCACTACAACCACCATCACAAAAAAGTGTTCTGACAAAACAAATTATTAAAAATAATGTCACAGAGCAGAAAGTTATTCAGAAAGGCGGGTTGAAGAACTGGAATTATAGTTCTTATTGTAAATTATTATTGTTGCATGGCAATTTACCAAAAATGCATTACAAGCTTTAACTTTATTCTGTTCTTTCTTCAGTGAGAAGATGATGTGCTTGCCACAAGTGATGACTATTACAAACCATAACCCCCTTCTCCAGAACCTCAACATTAAGTGTGATTAGCACAGTTTTCCCTTGTGGACACAGAGATTATAACAGGTAGACAGGTAACTTAGAAAGTAGATACTTTAAAATCAAATGTGTGGCGTTCATTTTTTGAATATGTGTTTTCTGTCACAGAATACTTGTTTCACTTCAACTGTTAATCATTTTAAGCCTGTTTTTAGTAAAAAATTAAATAGTTTTACAACTATGAAGAAAATAAATACAATGTACATAAAATGGAACAGCACCTAATTGAACAGGACCTATTACTAATAAATCTGGAGTGAAAATGAGTACATGGTGCTAATTGTTTGAAGTGTTCCCTATATCATACTGTTCACTGTAAATGCAGTTCTCCATTTAGAAGGAAACAAATGGCATGTTTTTAAGAGTGGAAGGCCATTATCAAGGAAGAGGGCATTTCATGAATTTCTCTTCTACTCCTTATGTTCATTAGCACATTCAATTCAGTTTTCTGACCCACTAGATCAGGGATGTCAAACTGCCGGCCCGCAGGCCGGTTGCATCATGCGGAGGCCGCACCCACCCTAGCTCCGGCAATGTGAAAAAAATCGCAATATGTTGCAACATGTGACGTGACACGGTGAGTTTGACACCCGTGCACTAGATCAGTGGTTCTCAACCTGTGGGTCGGGACCCCATTTGGGGTCGATCGACCATTTCACGGGGGTCGCCAAGCAAGCCTGTCCGCCATTTTTTTTGTCCGCCATTTTTTTCCCCTTTTCCGGTGGGTGCCTTACCTCCCTTGGGCNGGGCCAGCTGGTGGTCGGCCTGCTCCGTCTCTGCCGCTTGCCAGCTACGCCTCGGCCGGCGCAGGGGGCGGAACCACGCATGCGCGGCGCTCCCGGGCAGGGAAAGTCCTCGACTTACGACCGGTTGGGTAGTCCTCGACTTACAACCGGTTTAGTCCTCGACTTACGACCGGTTTAGTCCTCGACTTACGACCGGTTGGGGTCGCGGCATTAAAAAGGTTGAGAACCACTGCACTAGATGAAGACTTTACACAATACAGCAGAAACTTTTTCCATTCGTATCCAACTAGTATTTTGCAGTAAATAGAAGCAAAATTCTACCCCTTAATCTAAAATCTTTGCTCAAGACAACTGGCATGTTGAAAATATAAAGATTTTCTTGGCATATAACCTAATCTAAAACAGGAAAAGCATAGAAGATGGACATATATATGTTTTGTCTGATCTTGACTTCTGTGGGAGAAGTGAAGATCTTCCTTCTGTCTCAGCAAAATCCTTTGGTATTAAAACAAAGACAGTAATAGTATCAGGACAGGTTGCCAGACTTGGCATCACTATTTTAATTTTATTTTGTAAAGATGTTTTTGTAGGTTTTAAAAGCAACACCCTCCAAACTGCTATCTGCTAACTTTGTCTCTCATTAATAACATATAAAATAAAGTTTTGATTTAACTTTCCATTCACTTGGGCTTCCTAGAGTCATTTTGTAAGTCTTTTATCACACCAGTGCTTTCTGAAGAGAATCTGATGTCACTGGGGGCAACCCTATTGAAAAGCAACTTCATTTCTGTCATGCAAGTTGGGTGAATTATGGAAACTAATAGTGGCATATACTATATGCTTCATCCTCTCAATTCATTGCATCCCTATAATTGGTATATTATCCTCTGCAGGAAGAAAGAAGACAGTGTTGCTATATTAATTTATATCCTGATTTTCTCTCCATAAGTTACTCAAAACAGCTAAGGTAACAATTAAAAGCCAACACTTAAAATATTATAAATCACTATAAACTAGCCCAAATTGGAAAGGGATATATTGATCCTTTCTGAAGACCAATGAGGAGCAAAAGGAAAGCCTTTTACTCTGCTCCTATTAAACAGAGTTTGGAAAGCAGATGCATCTTCAAGAGAATTTCTCCAGTTGATGTTACTGTCTTAATAAATTCATCCTGTGGTCCCTAGGTAGTTATGTTGTGAACTGTTTAAAATTTAAAGGCAAATCTTTAAATTTTACCCTGAAAATGCACATCTTGCCTCACAGTTATAATATGTATCTAGTATTATACACCAGATGGCAGCCTACTTGTTGCATGTTATACCAACTGGGTATGGGGGGAAAGTTTATTTAAGGTCTGTGTTATCGTGAAGAATATAGCTTTGGTGAGAAGAAAGACTCCTCACATTAGAAAGCACACTAATGTTCACCAAAATGGAAGGAATCAATGGAAGATAGTTTTCTTCCTTCTTTGATTTATGAAAGAAGAGAATCAATAGAACCTCCATCATGTTCCATCAATTAATTATACCATCATAATTCCAAGACATGTAATATATTTAACATATATCAAGTGTTCAAGAATACAAACATCCAGGTGGCAGAGCAGATTGATATACTCTGGAAAATATCCCATCACTGCCTCTCTGTTCTATGCATACCTTTCAAAGTGCATCATATGGACAAAACTTTTATATATGCTTTAACAAACAAACAATGAAGGGCATCCTGATTGGCAATCAGTGATCTGATTGCTTCATACAGGTCTTGGATTCCCAATAGCTGTTCTCTAGAGTTCTGGGGTCTGAGTTGGAGCCAGAGGGGCTCGTCCTTTTGCAAGGGCAGGATGATTAGTCCTCAGGTGGTTTTCCAAAGCTGTGGGAAAGAGAAGCCATAATTATTGTAAGAACTAGCTTATGCCCAGTTTTAAAGGAAGCAACTCTATTGCCTAAGCTAACATTATCCTAATGTTTCACCAAGGAGATGACCAGGCTGAGCCTGAGCGGGGGATCAAGTGCATCATCAGGCTTAGGTCCCTTCATACCCACAAGAGATCTAAGTCCAGCCCACCTTGAATATGCAGGGGGGGGGGAGGTAAACCTGTCATCTCAAGGAGAAAAGCTTTAGAATTGTAATCTTGTTGAATCAAATCCCAACATTGTGATGAAACTCAACAGATCTGAGGGTGCACAGGTTGCACTGCAGGAAATCAGAGCAAACCTTACTTTTTCTTTTCTTTTCATCACTCTTCCATGCAATATATTTCCTGTTAGAACTGACAGAAAATATATTTAAAAATGTCCCAAAGGTGCTTTTCAAAAGACAACTGGACTTCCTTGGCTTTTTCCTTGAAGATGTTTCATTTCTCATCCAAGAAACTTCTTCAGTTCTGGGAGTTTCAGTTCATTTCAGCCAGAACTGAAGAAGCTTCTTGCATGAGAAGCGAAATGTTTTCCAGGAAAAAAACCAAGGAAGTTCAGTTGCCTTTTGAAAAGCACCTTTAAAACAGCCATGACCTGGATGATTGAGAATCTCCATAGACATATTTAAAAATGGATTTTCTCATTGACCTTTACAGTTAGTGCTAGCTTTTTAATATCAGAAATGGAGAGTATAACCAATAAAGCAGTCAGCCTCCACCAAAAAGCTGTTTCAGATTAATAAGAATTAGTGAAAAAATATTCTTAAGGTGAGTTTCAATCTAATTTATCAGGAGACCAAGATCTTCTCTTTCACATCCTTTGCTAAAGTAAATTTTGTCTGCTTCTCAAGATAACTTGCAATTAGCTAATTTAGATCAATAAATGTATTATTGGAGCCTTATGTTCTTCCTATTTTCCTATGTTCACAAACTCCTTTCCGGAAATTGATATTTGGTTGTACTATGTTTAAAGAGACCATCTTACTAAAACCTTTCACATGTTCTAAGCTGAATCATAGTATTACGTATTCATGGGATTTTTAACAAGAGTTTTGTTAATTTGTAAAGTTGTTATTGTTAAGAAGTGTAGCTATGGCAAAGTGTTATTTTCAAATGCAGCCTATAAAAGATTTTAAAATAAAACGAACAACTTTTTGCTGCCCAAAATTGCCTTATAGGGGAGATAGATGGTCTAAACATTTATAAATAAATAAATTTTGAATTCTTGATCTTTGGTCAAGTAACTCCAAATTGGTGGGTAAAGGAGAGCAGTTAAAATTATGTCAGTTGAAGATTTCCATTTTGCCCGAATTTCCTAAAAATAACATCACCAAATAATGGCACTTTTGTCATCGAATTGCATGTATATGAACTGAAAAATCACAAAAAATGGGGTGATGGGGAATACAGCCTGATTTGCCTAGCCCTGCTCTGCAGAATGTTTCAAACACAAATTTAAAAACAAACAAACAAGTATATTAATAATATTCAGCTTCAAACCAAAACCTCATAAATCATCAATTAATAGGACATAGTATGCAGCACATGATTCTAACCATTTTTGAAACAGATACTAAAGCTGACAGAGATAAATATGACAAAAGTATCATAGCAAAAATCCATAGTCTTGGTGTCACCAATGAAAAATGAAATGGTGTAATTCAATCTTCTTGTGGACAAGCACATAGACAGAAGAGTGAATCTGTTATATTATTCACTCCAAAATCCATTCCTTCCCCTTCTTAGGATGGGCACTGTGAGAGGGATACTGTAAGATTTCATGGCAACGGGGCATGGTTCCAAATGATCCCTGCAGTGATTATCACTGTAGTAAATCTAAATTGCTTCATACAAGCCTAATATCATTTTATGTCATCTCTAAATGTATAAGTATTCCTTCTACCTCATCCAAATCTCTAATAAAAATATTGAAGAGTAACATGCCTGGGATTGAACCCCATGGCATTCTAAGTAGTATCTTCTCTCTAGTTCGATGAAGAATCATTAATGAGCATTATCCAAGTTCAGTTTTTGAGCTAACAATGTATTGAACTAATTCTCAAACCATTTAGCCTACATTTAGTTAATTGGCTAAGCAGAATGCCACGGCTATGTTGTTAAATACCTTACCGAAATCAGGTCAACAGCATTCTTACAGTCAATAAGGAAGCTAGTAGTTCTTCATACAAAAATGAGATGAAGTTTGACAAAGCCATGACCCAAAGCACTCTTTTTGCAGCAAATGAACTAAGAATTGATATATCGCAGGTTCTAAGGAAATGTGGGGCAATCAGTATGCTGGATACATCAGTTACCCTTTCGTTGCATATCTAGATATGTTTCTTTCTAAAGGCACAAAGAATACTTACTTATTCAGGGTGAAGTGTGCCCATGTTTACTCACTTCAAATACTCCCCTTCACTCATATAGTCCATAAAAGACCCTGTCAGCTCAGCAAAATCTTCCAATACAAGACTGGTAGAGTCCTCACCAGACAGGTCACTGTCAGGCCGAGATTTCCTAGGATGAGTAGAATGAGACACAGTGCAAGAAACCCCAGGAGCGCTTTGGCCAACCGCAGGTAAATCACCTACAGGCACCACTGCCTCTTCGTACTCTGCCTTTTCCACCTCTGTGTCTGAAGTAGGTCCTAAGACATGATAGAGGCTGGGTAAACGGATGTCAAATTGAAGGCCAAACTTAGCAAAAAGCTTTTCATTCAAGGCATAGAGCTTTTCTGAGATGTCATAGCCAAGGAGGACAGAGAAGAGTCGGGCAATGTAGCGATCCTTAGCCAGAAGCAAGTAGAGCTTTTTTCTTTGCCAAGTAATAAAACAGGAGTCAGTCTCTGCTGTCAAAGTTACCTGCCAAAGAAAGAAAAGAAAAAAGTTCAATTGTTTGTTTTTAAGGATAACAAATTCATTGTATTACCTCACATATTGTTAAACTTATACAAATATACAAAAAATCCACATTTTGAAAGAAATTCATATTGAATATGTTTATTTGTGTCCATTATTATCTTTGAAAATGAGTTTTTACAATACATTGATTAAATATTTCTTGAATAGTTTGGAACACAGTGTATACAGTTATTACAAATGTATTTTTACATTTGTACTTTTAAAAAGCTCAGTGACATTGGGAAAGTGGATTGATGTTTGAGATTGACAAAAACAAGGGAAGCATACAGAGTATCTCTTTATTTTGAATAAGGCTAAATAAGAACATAAGTAGTGCCCAGCTGGGGCAGATTCCCCTGGCTCATCTAGTCTGTTCTTGCAGCACCCTACCAAGTGCAGAAGGAAGCCCACCAGTCTCAGAGCAGATGGTCTTTAGAGGCAGTTACACCATCATTAAGGCTAGTAGCTTTGACTTCCATGTGTTGGTCCAACCCTTTTTTTGAAGCCACCAAATTAGTAGCCAGCACCCGATCTTATGGTAATGAATTCCACAGTTGAATTATGCATTGTGTAAAATCTCCAGGGATATATAAACCACATACAAAGATACTGAAGGAACTCTCTGATGGTCTGGCTGACGTTTTCTGAATTACAGTTGAGAGAGGTAGAAGAATTATTATTTTTTATATATAGATATTTTATTAGTTTTTAAGTATAACAATCTCCAGTACCTGGTGTACAGCGTGTTGTCTTGGTTTATATTTTGACAAGAAAAAAAGGACAATAATAATTAATTAACAATCAATAATAATTAAATTTGATAATTCCATAATTAATATATTAATTAATGATACATTTCTTTGATCTTCCCTTCTCCCATTTGTATTCTCCTTCTAAATATAATTCTTAATATTTTCAATATATAAATGATTAGATATAGGCATTTTTTATATTTATACAAATAATAATAATCTATATATATAACATTTTTTCAGCTTATATTATTCTCATAACCATCATCTCATTAGTTCAGCATACATCCTATTTTTATAATTTTTGTTCGCTTAAATTCCCTTATATTCAATCCAATTCTTATCAGTCATAATTTCTTCATATTAGTCATCTGTCCAAATTTTCCCATTTAGGTACATCCTCCCAATATTTTATATCATGTATTATAAAAATACTATACTTTTTATCTATCTTATAATATCTAGATATGACATCCTTTTTAATCAGCTTATAAAAGGGTCATGTGATCCCCTTTTGCAACCTTTTGAAAAGCAAAGTCAATGGGGAAATCAGATTTACTTAACAACCTTTTATATCAGGGGTGTCAAACTCAATTTCATTATGAGCCACATTAGCATTGTGGTTACCGTGGGGGGGTTTCCTTCCTTCTTTTTTCCCTCCCATCCTGCCTCCCTCCTTCTCATTCCCATCTCCTTCCTTCCTTCCTTCCTTCCTTCCTTCCTTCCTTCCTTCCTTCCTTCCTTCCTTCCTTCCTTCCTTCCTTCCTTCTTGCCTGCGCTGATACTGGTGCTTTTGCTGAGCCCTGACAGCTGATTGGCGCTTCTGCAGGGCTGTCAGGGCTCAGCAGAAACACCAGGATCAGCGCCGGGCTCCTGCCGATCAGCTGTAGCTGCGCATACCAATCCTGGGGCTTCTGCCGAGCCCCCATAGCCCTGCAGAAGTGCATGCCGATCCTGGGGCTCCTGCCCAGCTCACTCGCTTGCCCTTCCCCCGAAAACACACCGCTCGCTCACTCACCCTTTCGAAAACAAGCCACTCGCTCGCTTGCCCTTCCTCCGAAAACACGCCACTTGCTTACTCACCCTTCCTCCAAAAACAGGCCGCTCGCTCTGTCTCTCCTCACTGCTTTGCTAAGAAAAACCTTTTTACTTCTCGCTCTTTCTCTCCCTCTCCTGCCAAAACCTGCCCCTTTTATACCTTCTCTTCTCTCCACCCTCCTCCTCCTTTTCTCTTCCAGGTGTGCCGGAAGCTCCAATTACTATGTCGCCACGTGCACAGATCCTGGGGATTCTGCCAAGCTCTGCAGCTCCAGCTGATCTCCAGGTCTGTGCGGCGTCGCTTTAGCTGGTTCCCTCCCCCGTTACACTTGGCTAGGGGTCGCATACACCTGCCAGGTGCTAAAATACCACTGGTGGTACGCGTACCACCGATTGAAAAGCCCTATCCTAGTGGACAATCACTTAAATATGAACCAACAGTGTGCAATAGCAACCAAAAAAGCCAATGCAATCCTGGACCGTGTTAATAGAGGGATAGAATCAAGATCACGGGAAGTTTTAATATGGCTTTACAAAGCCTTAGTAAGACCACACTTGGAATTCTGGTCATGACAATATAAAAAAGATGTTGAGACTCTGGAAAGAGCACAAAGAAGAGCAACAAGAATGATTAGGGGGATGGAGGCTAAAACATATGAAGAACAGTTGCAGGAATTGGTTATGTCTAGTCTAATGAAAAGAAGGACTAGGGGAGACATGATAGTAATGTTCCAATATTTGAGGTGCTGCCACATAGATGAAGATGTCAAACTATTTTCCAAAACACCAGAAGGCAAGACAAGAAGCAATGGATGGAAACTAATCAAAAAGAGAAGCAACCTAGAACTGTCCTTACACAACCGGAGAGGGATTCTAATTATGCTTATTATTAAATTAGTGGTCAATAATAGTAAGTGTAACCATGACTATTATTAAATAAATTAATGATATAAGACTTTGGGCAGTGAAATTAAAATAATAACAAAGTATTTATTTAGGGTTTTGTATACTGAGTATATGTTATTGCAATTAAATATGCAGATGAGATGGAGGCTTCTTGGCCTGGAAATAGGTGTGAAAAGGATTGTTATAGTTGACAGAAAGCTGAGTCAGCAGCAGGATGTGGGTACTAAAACTGCAAGTTCAGTTGTAAGATACTTCAACTGAAATGTTGTTTCCAAATCATCAGAAGGAGAACTGATATTTTGTACTGTCAGATCCAAGGTATTGTTTCCAATTTTGAGAGAGGGGAATACTGCAGCCAGTTTTGGTCACCATATCACAAAAAAGATGTTGAGAGTTTGAAAAAAATTCAGAGAAGAGCAACTAAGATGATCAAAGGCCTGGAGACTAAAACATACAAAGAATGGCTACAGGACTTGGGTTTGGCTAGTCTAAAGAAAAGAAGAAACAGGGGAGACATGATAGTAGTGCTCCAGTATCTGAGGGGCTGTCACAAGGCAGAGGGGGCCAGGTTGTTCACCAAAGCACCAGAGGGAAGGACGAGAAACAATGGTTGGAAACTGATCAAAGAGAGAAGCAACCTGAAATTAAAGAGAAACTTCCTGACAGTGAGGACAATTAACCAGTGGAATAGTTTACCCCCAGAAATCATGAGCGCTCCATCACTGGAGATTTTTAAGAAGAGACTAGTCATTCACCTGTCTGAGACAGTACAGGTTGAGCAGGGGGCTGGACTAGAAAACCTCCAAGGTTCTATTCTATTCTATTCTATTCTATTCTATTCTATTCTATTCTATTCTATTCTATTCTATTCTATTCCAGCCAGGAAGAGTGGAGGCAAACATCCCAAGACGTAGTAAATAGGCTGAACTACACAAACATTTTCTTTGCTCCTCAATAGAAAATGAAAGATGGAAATTATAAAGAAATCAGAACATTATGAAGAACATTACCTGAAATGTTCCCTCTTCAGAAGGCTGTAATGATTCCCACTCCGGGGAATCCAAGAACTGATATGGGAAAACATAATGTAAAAATTGTCCATCCTGACTTACTTTAACCCTGCAGAAAGAGAAAAGGAGGGCAGGGAAATTATTAAAATTAAAAAGGCTGTTGTGCAATTGCTGAACAATTAAAAGACATATGATAAGGTCCATGCAGGTGGTCATTTAGATACAAACAACACCTTCATATAGGATAGAATTGTTTTAGACATCAATATCTGTGGAAACAAAGTGGCAGTTTAAAAGAAATACTGTTCAACAATAGCAGATTGTTCTGCACACAATATAAGTAACATGAAGACAAGGCAGGCAGGTGCAAAGAATAGCCAGGAAGAAGGAAACAATAGTGAGGCTTCAAGCTCTGTGTGCAAATTGCTATTCATTAATATGCTCCTAAAAGAAGCAAGCATTTCACAGGAAGCAAGCTTCACAGCTCTAACCAGGGCTAGTAAACAATGAATCATTGCAAGCGGAAGGTTTGATGCGACAACTCCCTTCCCTTTCTGGCTTCGTCCTTGTTCCGAAGCACATGTTCACAACTGAAGAAGGGGAATACTTTTTGTCAGAGCAATGATACCCCATGTGTCAACTATCCTGTTTTAGACAGAGCCTTTTCAGAGTTCGCCTCCCTCATCAGGTGTGGCCATTTTGTGTACTGGACAACCATTTAGTTCAGCCCTGTATGCATCTACCCATTTTGTCTATGATGAAAAAAAGCAAAGGGTCTGTGACAACCTATAATCTTGTCCCACCAATCAAGGGACTTTTCTCATCTTAAAAGAGACCTTAGAGAAAATGAGGCAAGGTCCTTGGATTTACCAAGACCGTTTCCTAGAGAGCATTCCCACCTTCCAGATTGGATCATGACCTTCACCTCTTTCTGTTGCAGAGCTGCTTTTCTACATTGTTGCTGACGCTTGTATATGAACCATGTAATGCTGCCAAGGTACTATTCTTTCTCAAAACAGAAGACAAATTTATCCTAGGGTTTTTAATAAACATTGCATTATTGAATGCTTCCAGGGAAAAAGACATCAATTGTCTAGGAACTGGTCTAGGAACTTTAAAGAGAAATTTTAAATATTTTGCATTCAGGCTGACTAGTCTCTTTGGTTTCCTTCAACAGAATAAATTTTGAACAGTATGATTAAAGATACATACCTGGGAAAAGTTTTCTGAATTTCATCACAATGACAAACCAATTCCAGAACACCATCCAGTATTGCTACATTAAAACATTATCGTCAAGAGTAAAGGTTAATCTTGTGACTTCTTTTGGCTTTGCTATTGCTCCAGACTGCCTCTGTTCACTTGGCTGTACTGCTAATTTGAACACATTCCTAAAAAGGGACTGAGATATGGCAGATAAAGAATAACACTAGAGGCCAAGTTTTAACTTTTAGATATCTTATGTAAAAATTTTCAACACTCTAAAGTTGGGTGTGAACAAATTCAATCTATTTCCAATAATGCTAATAATCATATTACTAAGGCTATACTCAGTTTCTTTTACTCTAAAGGAAACAAGAATATGTTCATGCAATAAGGGTCTTTATAGCAAAATTTCTCACCCAGATATTATATGGCATATGTGGGAAATTTTATATCAAAATATATTTTATTCCTTATACTGTCTCCATCTTCCGTGAAACATTTACAGAATCCACAATGGACTGAGAATCTGTCTCCACTAGATAATTGACAGCCAAGCTGTCAATTAATCAAGTAAGTTAATCAAGTAAAAATAGCAAATGGGAAAAAAATCTTTTACTCAAACCTCTTCAAACCCCCAAATAAATTACCCAGACCTAGCTCACATATCAGAGGAGAAGATCTGTAAACACAAATAGAGTAAATAAAAATGGTCACCCAGCGGAACTTCATATTCACAAGAATAAACATCATAGATGACATCTATCTACACATACCCACACCCATTAAATATCAACCTAGAATCAGCACGTATGCACTTTCCTACTCAGGACAAGCTCCTCTAAAAAACAATCTCTCTACATCCCATTTTTGTGCAGTTGCCCCCAAGGCAAACTTCTTTGCTTTTGGAAATAAATACTTCTGCTTTCCTCACAGCTGTCTGGATTTCATTTTTATTTATTCTTGCACAACCCCGGCTTGAGTTGAAACCCAAAATTATTCTTTTGACACACACAACAACCTATAATCCATAGAAATAGCACAGTCCAGATTCTTAAAAGTGATATTTGGAGGACCGTCCTGCATTTCAAAGGTAGCATTTAACTCAGAAACTGTGTTAATTCCCTTGGGTTTCAGAGGCCATTTACCCCAGCTGTATTTCTGGCATAAACTTAATTTTTCTAGTAATTCCCTGGCTACCATGATCCTTCTTGATAACTGTCTCTTCTGGAAAAGTCAAGATCCAGCATGACTTATATCAGTCTGGTTTCTCACATTCTGCCCTTCTGGTCTTGGGAATTCCCAGGGCAGCAGTGGGAGTTTGATACTGCTCTTCATTTAGAGCAGGATATATTAGGATCCTGACATTGTCAACCATTTCAGTTTCTTGCCCTTTGTTATACTAGGGAGAAGACACAACCTTTTTTGTAGAACAAATTTGTCCCTATCTACTGCAGGAAGCTGCAGCCCTGTTGGCAGAAATTCAAACTCCATCCTCAGATCTCTACCTGCCAACATAAGTATCTTTTGCCCTGAAGACAATCTTATCTCCTCTTTACTCTCAAATCAGAACTTAAACACCACCAGGAGAGTCACAAAATAGTCTTCAGTTGCCAGTTGTCTACGCACGATATGGTTTTCCTTGGTTGTATACAATTCAGACAGCATGCCAGTTTAATAAATTACTGGATCATTATTAAATTTTGTCACTTCCAATATACACTTTCACTCATACATATTTATTCTGAGAAAAACACATATTTATACATTTAGTTCATAGCCAAAGAGGTAGAACTTAAATATTCTGTGTTTAAAGTATTTTTATTAATTTGTTTCTCTTATTTAGGGTTTATTTTTAGCATCTTGTCACTTGTATTCACTGTGTTGTAGTAAATTTTATTGTGCACTCGTACTGATGTTTTAGAAATGGTTTAAATTGTAGGGATTTTTACTGCTGTCTTTAAATTCTGTCGAACTTACTGGTTAATAATTGTAATAAGGATTATTCTCATAGTAAAATTGATGGCAACCAAGGGCTCATAAAACAAGCTTAGGGACCATATGAGTTGTGTATGCCAAATATAGAGAGATCAAAAGGATCAGTGAAGCAGATCTTGTAATAGAAAGAAGATGGGGTGGTGGTTTCTCTTTCATCATTGCTTTCTGTTTATTTTCATCTTCAACTGCATTTCTTGCTATTTTGAAGTATTGTTCATTAGAAAGCAACAAAATACAAACAGAGAAACTTTGGAACAATGTTGATAAACCTTGTTACCTCTTTCACAATATCACAAAGGTTATTGCCAACTCTGAAAAGGTTAACATTTTTTCTGAGGAACATCATGAAAAAAGAGACTCAATGCCTTAGCAAGATGAGTTGAGAAAGAGAAGATTAAGGAAAGTAAAAAATTATAATCACCTTACATCAAACGTTTTGCAAAGAAATAAAATTTGCAAAGTTCACTTATGAGAATAAGAACTGCCCTTTACATTTTAAAAAGATGTTTGGACAAGTTACAGACATCTATCAAAGCCACAGATGCACCCTCCAGACATGCATGCTCCAACCACAAGACAAGCCATCCAGCCACTGAACCATGCCTCCACACAGCCACAATGGAAGGGCAGACCAGGCAGCCATAGCTCTTGCAAGCTAACCAGATGTGCTTCTGAAACTACAGCCACAGGACAAGAAAGGCATTGTGGAAAGAATAAAGGGGAATAGAAGAAACATTCAACCATTTTTAATCATTGTGAGATTTGCTTAATGCCACATCATTATGCCTAAATGCATTCCTTAGGCTTATTTAAAAAGCTATATCCTGTCATATCTGCTATTCCTTCCTGAAAAAGCAAGCCTTATCTTTTCCTCATTTCAAAATGCCGCATCATGGCTGTTCTCAATCATTTAGAGGTTTTTATTTATTTATGTTCTAAAATCTAGGTGGATTCCTGAATAATGATTAAGACATTGATTAGATTTAGAATCATAGAGCTGGAAGGGACCTGGAGGTGGTCAATGGTAGGATACCTTATATCATCCTGACAAATGATTGTTCAATCTTTTCTTGAAAACCTCTATCTGTTCCATTGTTTAATTATTCTTACTGTCAGAAAGTTCCTCTTTAGCTCCAGGTTGGATCTGTCTTTAATGAGCTTCCACTCATTTCTTCTTTTTCTACCCTCAGGAGCTTTGAAAAATAAGTCAGCCCACCTCCTTTCTATGGCAGCCCTTCACCTACTGGAGGACAGCTATCATATCACCCCCTAATCCTTGTCTTCATTGGGATAGACATGCCTAGTTCCCTTAACCATTCAGCATACTGTTTAGCCTCCAGACTCCTTATCATCTTTGTTGCTCTGCTCTGCACTATTTCTAAGATCTCAGCACCTTTTTTGTATCCTGGTGACCGGAACTGTATTCCTAGTGTGGCTTCACTAGTGCACTATAGTGCAGGATAGAGTGGTTCTATCACTTCTCGTGATCTTGATACTATCCCTCTGTTGATGCATTGGCTTTTTTGGCAGGTGCAGCAAATTGCTGGCTCATTCGTAAGTGGTGGTTCACTAGGATAATCAAGGCACAATGTATTTTGTGAGAATTGTACTGAGACTGTCTGAAGTATGGCCTTAAGATGAGTCTCCTGATTTGGAATAACAAATAATTCTGCTCTTTTTTCCTATGCTTTCCTATTCAAAGGAAGCAAAGGTCCATTATTAGAACTGGTGTGTGTGTGTGTGTGTGTGTGTAATACCTAAGCTCAGCTAATTATGCGAATGCTGGATATGCTCTTCTTTTTTTATAATCTATGAAAGTTTCAAATTTTGTTAGCATGTTAGCTGGTTTTGTGCATGTTACTCTACTTTTGTGAAGTTATTTCAACCTGACCTTCAGCTTACAGATCT